ATCAATGCTATGGATATGACCGTCAGAGAGTGCCTTATTAATGAACAACATTCATGCCCATCGGATTATCTTTGTCGTTTTAATCCGCAGAAGAATCGATACTTCTGCTGTTCTTCAGTAGCTAGAAGCAAACGTATGCTTAATTACCGTACCTATTTTTCCTGAAAAAATAAATTTCTATTAGTTAAATGCTTGTGAAAATTGTCTGAAAATTCAGGCTATTGTCCAATTGGGCGAGCTCCATACAAGGATCAGATTAGTTTACAACCTGTACGTTGTACAATGAACACCGTTGCAAACACTTGTCCGGACGGTTACAGTTGTCAATCTGAGCTGAATGGTGCTCTTCAAGGATACTGTTGTTCAGTAAACGGTAATTGATAATAATGAATGTTTTTCAGGCAAGAAACGTGCGGTCTTAAGAAAGTTTTAGATATTCAATGAACTTTTTTTTTATTGTCATTCGAGAGTTAAGGGCTGAGTTTTAAAGAGTGCACCTAAATTTCCCTCTTACAAGGATTTTGCCAAGGCGAAAATAACATTCGGTAATACGGATGTGTAATTTTTGAAACTGGCTCAGAAGGACTTTATAGCTTATTTCTTACCGTAATTTTGTAACTGAATCTACACGTTTTTCCAGATATTTGCCCAAATAAGGAAGAATACTTTATTGATGAAAATAGTGCAATGCCTAGAGCTTGTACCATAGGCCAATTTGTAACGTGTCCGAGTGGTTATACTTGTCAAGCTGTACACGACGGAATGCTTGGTTATTGCTGCAAGGTTATTGAAAAGAATTTTATTGCACCAAACTTTTTTTTTTATTTTTTTGATATTAAGAAGGTTAGTAACAACAAATTTGAGCCTGCACGTCTTAATGTTGTATAAATGGGGCAATTTTAATGGTTCTGATGGTTGTGATGAGCATATTATAGGGTGTCGCAATGACAACTGCGTCTGACGGATGCCCGCCTGGGGAAATTGTTTATATGGATCGTAATGAAATTTTAGCTTGTGACCCTTTCAATCCACTAAACCAGGCTTGTCCTAGTGGATTCTCTTGTCAGTGGTCAGTACGTACGCAGCGGTATCAGTGCTGCGGTGCAGATCCTCAACCACCACCACTTGAAAGTAGGCTTTATGATTTATATACGTTACTTCATATAACATTCCTTATAATTTTATGATTTCTACAGTGGACTTTGTAAAACTTTGCTTGGAAGTTTAATTGGTGTTATTCAGACGACGGTTGCCCCTCACGACAAGTTGCATACAGTGATCCAAAGACAAAGCAACCTAAAGTATGCACGTCAGCGTCGTTCTCTTGTCCAGTGGGCTACTTTTGCCAGTTCTCTACAGTTAATAAACAATTCCAGTGTTGCGGTATACCATCAGATTGTCCAAACAATCAGGTCATATCAGAACCATTGAATTTGACCTATCATCGTTGAGATGATTTTTAATGGAATTTTACAGATGTAATTTCATAGTCTATGATTAGATAAGTAACTTTAGGTTGCTTTTATTAGTTTGAGCGGTGATCCGCAGAGTTGCAGTATGGCCAATGGTCTTCCATGTCCTACTGGTTACTCATGTGTCCGTGGGAAATCGTCTGGAGAACTTTGTTGCGCTGGGAAATCACGTAAGCCAAGTCAAACTTCATAAACGTTTAAAACCAGCTTATTTTCTACAACTCAGAAGTAGTATTAGCAACACTGGTTTTTAGCATGTCCAGCATCGCAAGTACTTATCGGGCGTGACTGTTACGATCGTGTCTCAATTGCCAGTCCCTGCGTCGATACAATCCAGTGTCTGGGTGAATCAATTTGTAATCAGAATCTATGCACGTGCCCGTCAGGAACACGACAGTTAGGAGATAAATGTGAAAAGCCAAGCTATTTGAGTTAGTCTTTTACGGTGATTGCTGTGGCAAACACAGATGTTTTTTCAAGATTCGCAAGCCAGAATTGCAAAAAAAAAAAGAGAGAGAAATTTAGTTATATTTTGTCTACATTATATAAGGGATACTTTTTTTCACTTTTAGAGGATAGCTTACTGGGTCTAAAGAGTTTCTGAGTTCTCTTTATTTGCTGGAAAATTTTTTTTCAAGGTGTTTCTTTTTTTCAATTTTTTAACGTTTACAAAGCATAGAATCAGTGTTTTTTAATCGAATTGCTAAAGAAGTAATTAGCAGAAAAAGACATTACTGATTCTTTGTTTAAAAAATTATAAGCAGATTAGATACTGCTTGTTATTTAGGATGCGCTAAAGGCGAGATTAAAGTAGAAAACCAGTGTTTACAACTGATTCCAATTGGGAGGGAATGTATTTCATCGCAACAGTGTCAAGGAGGAGCCACATGTCAGCATGGCTATTGCAAATGTTCGAAGGAAATGATTAATCAGAATAACCAGTGTGTTCCAAAGAGTGCTGCAATAGGATCAGCGAATGTGGAACATCTAGTCTCCAGGGGTGTAGCTGGTTCTGAAGTTAATTTGTATAGATCAAAATCAACGCGTGGATCAGTTATTCACGGTTTTGTTGCTACAATGACAAGCACAGTTGCACCG